CACCGAGCGCACGCAGAAAGTATCTTTCGCATGGCTGCGACAGCAGTTTGAGTTTGGTCACTTTCTCATGCTGAACGCTGACACTCGAGAGCAAGTGGCTGACATACTTACAAAAACTTTTACAGAATGTTCAAAGTGGCAACATGAACTGAGGCTCATTGCGCGCACCGACGCCTTCCGCGCGTCTAAGGTAGCTAGGGGCAACCCTAAGCCACGCCGCTACCCCGGCAAAAGAAACAACTCCGGCAAGCGAAGAGCTGGCGAAGTCTCTATTGAAGTCTAAAGACTTTACCTATGACGCGTTGGAGAAGCTACTACAGTCCATGTTTGCAGAAGGAAAGTCCACCTTTCGAGCAATGCAACAGCGTAATAAGCGCTCGCAGCATTTAGTATTTGGTGCTTTTGCGCACGGTCCGTTTTGTGGCATCACGAATCGTACTTTGCTCTACCCAGCTTGCGTCAAGTACATCAACCAGTTCCTGGCCAAACAGTTACCCAAAACTATGACTTGGAGCACCTTTGCACCATCCAAGCAAGTGCGCGCTATATGGGCCATACCGATGCGCACAACTTGGCAGGTTCCACTAACTGTGCCTTTTCTTTAGGCCAAAGCAAAGGTGGTGGTCTCTATATCGAAGATGAGGGGGGTGCTCGCACCATCAAAACCAAGCAGGGCAAGGACGTCAAAGCCAAGTTGTACGACACCTGCCGCAAGCCTATTTGTTTTTCTCCGAAACAGTATCACGCAGTGCAATCATGGACAGGGCTTCGACTTTCTGTGGCTTGTTACACCACACGTTCTGTGTTTGACTTGAAACAAACCGAACAACGAACCCTGCAACATCTCTGTTTTCGCTTACCGAAATCGCGCCCGTCCGCGTGCTGCACATTGCCTTCCCCTCGCAAGGAGGGGGGATTTTCCGCTAAACTGCCGCGCATGGTCACAGGATCCTTGCTCAGGAAAGGCCATCTCACCCAGGATCAGGAAGGATATGCTAGGTTGTCTTCCTGTCCTGTCCACCCTAAACCCCGAAGGGATATTCTGTACGCCGCTCCTGCAAGCATTGATGCGAGTTCCTGTGCGAAAAGAGCTGTTCGAGCAAAACCTACGGGTTATAAGCCCAAACAGCCTTCATTTGTTGCCGTGATGGCGGCTCCAAGTCCGACAGCGAATATCCAGGTCGACACACAGTACTTGAGTGTGGATGCGAGGGCCGAGCCTTTGAAGCAGGTTCAGGACAAGTATGCCCTGGAGTTCCTCTACCATGGCGGACTCGCAGCCGAGCGCCTTGGTTTGGATCTCGGTTCGGAGGGTGATGAGTTCTATGCTGGGATTCAGCGTGAGTACGTTGAGATCGAAGTCGAGCCGGATGCAGAAGAGGAAGCACCAATGGGCGAAGTGGCACAGCCGGCTACTCCACCGTCAACCCACATGACGGTTGAAGATGCCGTTGCCAACCGCTCTGAAGCGGCCAATCCCTTCACCATGCAGGGACCGGCGGCGTATCCGTGCCCAGCATGCCAAGCTGAGTGCTACGTGGGACAACACCATTGTCTCCGACGCCGGCACCGCCTCTCCGAGTCCCGCGGAGAAGATCGCCGTTTCCTCCAGGCCGCTGCCCGCAGGAACCATATCTTGGACAAGCTTGCAGCAGCGGGAGTCAGCGTTCACAACATCAGCCCGCACGAACTTCAAAAGCTGGCCAAGCATCGCCCGGAGGAGGAACGCGGTCAGATGAGCTACAAGGCGCATGCCATCTGGAGGGCCAAGGATAAAGCGCAAAGGGCCACATGAACTACAAAGATCTCGCCGAGCGCTTCGACAAGGACCCCACCTTCGCCGCTCGTCAGGCTGAGCATGGCTTCACTCGTGTGGACACGCAGCGTCTTCAGCTCATTGCATCTGGCTACCTCCCCGCAGCAGGGCGTACTCGTCAGCAGGTGATCCTCGGCACCGGGAGCCAAGCAAACTTCCATGCATCAAAATCCGAGGTCAATGCCAAGATGGCCATCTTCGACGGCATCAATGTTGAGGACATGCGCGCAGTGGGAATGGCGGACTCCCAAATGAATGTCAGCATGTGCATCGGCTGGCACGGCACTTTCATGGATGTCTCCACCTTCGCTCGGTTGGCCCTCGGCAACGAGGATGCCCGTAAGATCTTGACCTTCAACGGGATGGCGACCCTCCAGGCGGCCACCCTCGACACGCTCAAGGAGGAGATTACTGCAATAATTATGAGCAACCATGAAGCGGCCAAAGCTAAGGTCAGAACCGACCAGCCGGCACGCGCAAAACAAAGCGCGGTTTCAAAAGCCAAAGCAAAGGCCGATCCTCCCACCAGCCGCCAGCGGTGGTCCAGTGAAGACTGGGGCAGGTGGAATGACGGAGGCTACCATGGACGCACCTGGTATTCGGCCGCCGAATGGCGCCGTTACTGGGGGCACTGATTTCATGCATGATGCAGCGCAGGACCTATGTACCATCATTTCAGCTAACTACACTCGCCACAAAAGCACAATGAAAGCTACCCGCAAGGGTATGCCTGTTTCTTTTGCGTGCTAAAGTGTGCGCCTTATAGTGCTCACGCACACGGTGAGGGGGATGTTTTCGCACTCCGGGTAGTTTAGCTACTTTTGATTTTGCTTATGTAAGCTAAGAGCCTACTTGTTGAGGTACTCACTTTCCATGCTTGTTGGTGAAATGCTTTGATCGTTGCCTCCGCAGTCGCCGTAAAAGGTTCGACTTACCGGTAGTTTCCGTCTTCACTTGAGTGCTGAATCCTGTAACTACAGAACATCTTGGCATTCTTGGAGGCTTGTACTTCTGCATGAGGAAGCCACCATTGAGTCCCAGGCTGCGGCCGTAAAAGATACGTCCCGCACGGACTGAACACTACACCAGTCCACAAACCTGCCATGAAGGGCCGTTCTCAAGGCCAGCCAGAAGCACTTCACTTTCCGTTTCACAATGATTTCTGCGGCATACGTATCCGGCAACAAACCTTGCAGCGCTGGAAATGGCGCACCTCGCCAAAGTGGTGCACTGTACTCTTTGTAACGTGCAGGTCTTCCTGTCGCACTGCTATTGCCAAGTCCGGCAAATACTGCACATGTTTGCTTCTCTCTCTCATCTCTTCCTGCTTCTTTGTATGTTGTCAGCATTACCAGCTGACAATCAAATCTGCCACCAACCTGACAATTCCAGTTGCCGCTAGACTGACCACAATGGTTTGTGGCAGCATCATTGCTCCCAGGGGTCCTGGTGGAGCTCCACTACCATGAAAAAAATTCTTGACTACACCGTTCCTGCACACCCGGTCTTTTCCTTGTGGGCAGCTGGGTGTCTGTCTCTGAGCCTAAGCATTACACATACACAGTTACCGTGTACGCTGCTCATGCACTGCTGCTGTAGTGCACTTCCTTGGGAAAATCATGTTGTTTCCGGGCATACACGGGTGCGCGATGATTTCTTTGACGTGTGCGCCTCCCTGTTTTGAAGCCCTGGAAATCCGCCCACCCGGTCCCACAACCCCCCGAACCTGAAAGCGCCCATGGGCATTAATGGAAACCGGCCATGTGCCAACGCGTGCACGACAGAATAGCTTGCCGAGACACAACTCCCGATACTCGTCAGGGTATAAAGTTTTCACAAACTCTCTTTCGTCAATCGTGCCACCTGAGTCCTGAACATCAAGCTGCTAGGATCGCAAGATCTTCTTCGCTGGCCTACTGGCACAGGACTCCTTGTCTATCAGTTTGAAGAGCTCTGTGATCTCCTTGTCCCTGAATCCAATGTCCATCTCTTTGAGCCTCAGGCAAGACAAAGGTCACAACAGCATGACTGGAATTAGCTGAGACATAGTCACCGCATCCGAGCAACAGAACGTGGAACTCAGGCAAATCGATCTGCACGCTGCTGCAACATCAAATTGGTTCCCCCCCCATTGACCAAGGTTTTCTGGCTGGGTGAAGGACATCCCCTTGTAAACCAGAAACGGTTAGTGAAACGGTTCGTGGTTGCCTGGCCTGGGCAAGTTGTGCAGATGTTTTCAGGGTTCCTTTGCTCGGATGATTCCTGACATTGCGGGTCTTAGTTCCTTTGAGTCCTGGAAGATGCGCGCTCCATACCAACTTGTCCTAGGACAAATTTGGTTTTCAAGCCTGGCCTTCCACCTAGCAAAAGTTGGTTTTCCTTTCAAGAAGCTTTTGCCTAGGTAAACTAGCTTTTTCCTAGGAACAAGTTGGCTTCTTATACAGAATTGGGAATTCATTTTTCCAAAGAAAACCAAAGCGACAAACTTTTTGGCCAGCCACCATAGCTCCCAAAAAAAACAAATGTTTTTGTTTTTTTTGGTTGTGGTTAAGACTTGTTGGCTTCCTGTGCTTCCATAATTTCGTCTCTAAGTAACTATTCTATGGAAGAAGCAGGGAAACTAAAAAATGCAACTTTTTGGCCGGCCACCATAGCTCCCATAAAAGTCATTGTTTCCCTACCGAAAATTGGTTTTCGTCCAAGCCAGCCCAGGAGAAAGTTGGTGTTTGAGGTCATCAGTGTATGTAGATATATGCATAACACACGAATCGAAACGGCATCGTGATCTCCTTATTTCCCAGGCCTCTGCTGCTTTATGCGGCTGTTGTAAAACAAGCATATCAAGGAACCCAGAGGAAACCTAATACGGACTATACCTGTAGGGTTGTCCGTCATATTCTAGTTTTTGGTTGGTTTTATGAAGCTGTTCTAAAAGGAGCTAATTATAAAACAAGACCAATGGAAACCGAAAAAGAATCAGTGATGCTCCTTTCTTTCTGTGTTGTTAAGGATGGAAACTCAATCAGTATTCGCGATTCTTTGATTTCCGAGTTGTCTTGTGCTTTTTGTATTGCCTTTATGAAGGAATCGAGAAAAACGCGCCCGTACGAAATCCGAAAATAAGGTGTCTCCTTCAGTTACTAAATCTTCTTATACAGGAGTTTACACAAACGAACGCGGTTGAGATCTGGTTAGAATTAGGGTTTCCTTCAGTTCCTAGGCTTGGTCGTGATTTTTTTAAATGCGGCCTTTACAAGTGACATTTAATACACGAACCTCAAGAAAAGAACTAGAATTAGGGATCTCCATTTGTCTCTTTGGAAATAAAAAGCTCTTATGAAACCAACTTGCACAAAGGAATCCTAGGGAAATCCTATTAGACTTCGTGGGTTCCTCAAAGATGGTGCTTGCTCTTGTCATGTGTTTATAAATGAAGGAATTGAGAAACACATGCCCAAGGGAAATCTCATTGAGAATAAGATGTCTCCCTTCATTTCTTACGTCTTGATTGTTTGTATATTTTTCAGCGGCTTATACAAACAAACGCGATGGCATCTAATTTGAAATAAGGGATGCCTTCATTTCCAAGGGTTTAACTGTTTTTATAAGGCCTTTATGAATGAGCTTATATACATGAACCCAAGGGAAACACATTTAGAATTAGGGATCTTTTTTACTCCCTCGGTTTCGACCGTAGAACAAACTAGTATAAAGGAACCCTAACGGAAGCTTATTAAAATCAAGGATCTGTTGTATTTTGCGCTTTCCATTCCTTTCTGTGAATGATTTCTACACCGCAAAGGTTGTTTTCTAAACCGAATTCTTTTTGGCATGAAAGCGGCATTAAGCGTGGTCGTTGGAGGATTCGGGTTTGCATCCTTCTATAAGTTGGAGCCAGAACACCAGGCTGATTAGATTAGGTATCCAGCTACGGACACACCGATCTTGCTAAATTTCACAGAGCGAGTAGGTCCATCAGATGATTTCGGTTAATCCATGCTCTTGATTAATAAGCCCACTAGATTTAGAGAAAATAATGGCGTTTTGGGCCCACAAGGTCTTAATCAGGAGATCAACTTAAAAGGCTTAAGGGTTGACTTGAAAAGCTGAAGCTTGAATCTTGCAACCTCGAATCTTGAATAAAGGTTTTGCCGAATCGCCTGGCTGTTCTTAACATTAGACAAAGAGAGCTGAATCTGAGACTTGACCTGCTCAAGTCATTAGGATTAAAGGTTCAAACAACACTTTCTGAGCTACCCCTTATGGACCTTGCATGAGACCATGGCATTTTTCAGCGTCATTAGTTTCGGGACCGTTTTATATTACAAATGGCATGACATCTATTAAAAATAGATTAACATCAGATTATAACCTATTTGAAATCCAACTAGGAACAAAAAAAAATAGGTTACAATTAAAACCACTACTGAGACTTCAACTCATCATCCTCAAATGCACTCTCCAAAAAAATCAAGACCCAGGAAGCAGGAAGACCCCGAAGGTAAGAGTGTTGTTTTTGTTTTTGTTTTTGTTCGGCGTGTTTTTTTTGTTCTGCATGTTTTTGTAGTTTTGTTTCTGTGTGTTTTTGTTTTATCCGTGTTCTTTTTTGATCCGCGTGCGTTGCGGAGCTTGCGAGACAAAACAGAGACTTTCTTGAACAATGTAGACTCAAATTGTTTGTTATGGTAGGCTGTTGGATTTTCTGTTAGAAACCTATGTGCGACCTACATTTGTCAAGCAAACCTCTGTTTTTCTCTAGAAACTACACAACGCATGCGGAGCAAAAACAAAAAAAACACGACCTCTGTGTGTGTTTTTTTTGCTTCGCGTGCGCTCCACCGCGCCCTCACTCATTCGCTCGCTTGCCCTTGGCTGTTTGGTGGAAGTCTCAATTGGAAGCAATATCTTTTTTTCTAGAAAACGATGCAACGCATGCAGAGCCAAGAAAAAGAACACACACACACACACACAGGCCCTGGGCGTTTCCCCCCAACCCCCCCTCCAACCCCCGCCCCCCTCCCTGTCTTTTCAATGCCATCTATGCTTAATTTTCTCATCATCTTTAGGCATCATTGTTCAACGTCAGTTTTTACATTTGCTTAGCGTCTTCATCATGCTCAATCATTTTCATCCTCATCCTTTTTCACAATGTTCACTAACTTCAGGAAGGTACAGAAAGCCAGACACCGCGGAGCCAGAAATCGAAGAAGCCAGAAACCCAAGAAGCCAACAGGGGTCAAGTAAGTGATGAAAATGATGGAAAACGAGGAAACATGATGGACAAATGATGAAAGATAGGCAAGAATGATGAAAATGATAGGAAAATATCAAACAGGATGAAATATTATGAAACATAATGGAAAATGACGAAAATTATTGAATACTAAAAAACATGGAAATGATAGAAACATGATGGAAAAGGCCAAAATACGAGCACGCTCCATGCCAGGGCCACCCCCAAAAAAGTCAACCCCTCAGAAAACGCAAAAAACCTATTCAATCCTTGATAGAGATTACTCTAGAACAACCGAGTGAAACAACTGAACCCTAGGATTGCAACCAGACCCCTTGTTCAAATCAGATTTTCTTGGCAATTTCTTTTACTTGAAGCCTTTTACAAAGAGAAATATCCTAGCACAGACTCCTTATTCTAGACCCCTTTTGACCTTAGAATCACTCATTGTTCATTGTTGTATGTTTCTTCTTTTCAGTGCTCCTCAGGCTCTTGGGGGGCCCTGAATAAACTGCTTTCTACGATTGTGAGTTTTAAGTTTATCTAGATTCTTGAGGCTGCGAATGGGACTGCTTCTGCCGCTGCCAGTGCTGCAAGTACGGTCACCATGGCTCCTACCAGTACTGCTATTGCCTTCACAGTGTAGCTGCAATAATTGAAAACGTGTACTGAGCAGGCGCAAAAAAGAGATAGCAAAGGCGGGGGTAGCTGAATTGTACATATATGACCACATATATACATATATCTGGTGTATATCTATATATACATACATATGGTCTGACATACGGACGTCATCAAGCTGCCGAAAAAACCCTGGTCAATGAGGGCGGCGGGGTAGCATCAAATTCTTAGAAGTCTTGTGTGTGTGCGTGGGGTGGGACAAAATTGTTCACTCCTCGGCACTGTCGTCGAGGTCAAATAGCCCAAATAGGCGCGGCAGCTCGTACGGTCCAAATCCCTGCAACTGCGCTGCAACTGCGGCCAGAAGATCTCCATGCTCACAAGATGATGCTACCAAGCTGCCCATTTGTGGAGGCGGCTACGTGTCTTCTGTAGTAGGAGGATCCTTTTGCGGCTTCCCCAGATTTGCGTGAAGGAGTGTCCGATGATCCCGAACGGCATCGCCATGTAGAGGGAGCTCACAACCATTAAACTCAGGCGCTCACGCTACAAGCAACTCACACATGAAAGTTGCTTCCAACACGTTCCGGGTGCTATGCATTCTGGTCATGGATTGAAACTGGGATGCGGGCATGGAAGTCAAAACTAATCCGCTTTGTGTTGACGGGACAACATCCCCAAAGCCCACGGTCGTGATGGTTGAAATCACCAGCCATGCCGCGTGAGCCACAGTGGGCATGTTTGCACGCGGCTCGACCAAGAAAAGGAGCGATGTAAAGCCGTAGGCCATTACGACCATTATGTATAGTAACACCGGTAAGGCCTCCAAGCAATCGCGGAAAGCCTCAGATGGAAAGTATTGTCAAGAGCCACTCGTCTGCAATAGATGGCCAGCTACGAGCAGCTGACAAAGCACAACAACCATTGGCTCCAAAAAAATGTCGCAGCCCTGCTTAAGATCGAATCAGCAGCCTAGACTTGTTCTATCTTGGCGCAAAAGCCCACGGCCATTTAGACAACCCTTGATTCTGATATTGTTTTTGTCTGCTATTGTTTTACGAGGTTTTGGCTGCATGGTACCATCGATAGGAACAATGCGTGGAATGCATGCATCGTACCCAAGGCAACCCTTGCCATCAAAAGGTGTATGGCGCGTCGAAACTGCTACTAGTAGTGAGGTATTGAGCATCTGCAGGTCGGAGCAAGTCAGAGAACTTACGAGCTTTGACAGCATCCTTCGCTCATAAAACGCGTAATTATAGCGTGACCTTCTGAAGAAACGCTCATGTCTAAGGATGCTTGCTGGCAATGCTGGCAATGCTGGCAAGCATCTGCCTTCAACAGCTGCATGTAGCTAAACCGCCGGACCAATCGAAGCAGCCGGATCATTGGCATAGCAGCGAGCAAGAATGCATCGCCAAAGGAACCAAAGTCTTCTCCAAATTTGTCCTTGAGCACCTTGGACCATTGGACAGTACAGGCACTTGAGGTGCACAGAGCGAGGTCAAAGCTTTCCAATCAAGATGCCAGAAGTATGACTGGAAGAGCGCTGGTGCAGTCGATAAGGTTCTCCCAGCGCTGCTCACCCGCAAAAATGGCCCCAAGACTTGGATAACAAATGAAGCGGATGACAGTCTCTGTCAGCAAGATGGAATCGATTGCAACATCGATGATATCTTTGAACTCTGTAGTCAGCTCCACATTTAGGGCTGGTAGAAAAGCAAAGATCATGCCAAACAATGTAAAACTTGAAATTCCGTAGTAGTAGTAGAGGGCGCATGCACTGGAATCTGGATCCTCCAAAAACTCCGTGATCTTCTTGCTGATCCATGACTGCCTGTCCATGTCGAGCAGAATCTGCGCCCTTGCTAGTCTTTCCTGAAATGGCATGCCCAAGGAGTCCAGGTTCAGTGTACTGTACTTCTGTTTCCGCTTTGTGGACTTTGAAAAGGTGTCTTCGACTCCAAGGAGGGGTTGCGTCTCCGTGGCCTCCTCGTCCTTCTCGTGGTCGGATGGAAACTGAAGGGTGGTTTTCAAGTGCTCCAAGTGCTCCTGTTCACTCTTCAGGCTCCCTCGACTCCACAAGCCAGGGCTTCCAGGGCTTCTCACACCTCCCTTTCCGCGTCCCACCAGGCTTACGCGTTCAGGTGCTTGGACACCGGTCTGGCAACTTATCTGTTGCAATGAGCTCTGCAAAGACTTGTCGATTTGTCTCAAGAGAGCTTCTGCGGCATTGTGGTCCTAGAAGGCGGCAACTCTTGCATGCACGCGGACAGCATACTTTGAGAGGCGGGTCCTGGTGCAGCATCTGCAGCTGCTGCACCTGTCTCATTCGAGCTGCTGCATTGCTGCATGACAAGAAGCAATGAAGTAGCAAGACGCCACAAAACACATCAAGGGACTTAACCCCTCACGCTACAAAACATCCGAACTTCAGCTGAACAAGCGCGACTCAAAATTGATCTACGGGAGTCAAGACACATCCCTATGCCATACCGTGTGAGCACTTCATTGTCGCACGATTGACCGAACCGCTGTATGGCTTTGGAGCTGCGCCTGGGGCTGGAGGGTTTGCAGCACATCCTCGATGCCTCACTTGCTCGGGAGCCCGAACTGCTCATCCAGTTTACAGATTAGCTTCTGAAGATGTAAGTCTCTGAGGTGCGATGTTCGATGCCCGCAAGCCGCTTTGACAGGTCCACAGGAAGCTTGCCACACTGCATGGCGCATGAACCATGCCTAACCCTTGGGCAACAACCTACAAGCTTTCTCTCGTAGGGAGCATCAAAGCCGCCAGAAACGAACCAGGCAGAGGAGAAAGAAGAACAAAGGAAGGTCAAGGCGGATCTTCGGGTCCTTGCCTCCTCCTTTGCGCGCCGCGCAGCTGTCTGCTCCTCGAAATTTGCGCTGTGGGGTAACATTGCCACAAGCCGTTCAAGGCCATAAAATGCAGGGGGAAACATATCCTCTTCTCGTTTGGCAGCTTCGGCTTGACGAGCAAGGCGCTTGGCCTGCTGCTACGTGCTGCTACTTTGCATCTGCAAGGGTGCAAGGGCGGGTGATGGGGAAGTGGTGTACGGGGGCTCAGGGCCTCCTTCTCTGCTTGGATCCTGGGATCAAAGGACTCGGCTAAACCTTCAGGCTGATGCGCGGCAGAGCTCAACTTACTCTCCAAGGATTTCTGAAGACCGGACTCACAAGCTTCGCGATCCGGCTTTGCTCTTGCTGCTTGTACTGCCGCGCCACGCGCTGGTTTTCCCTCATCATCCAGCGCCTCCAGTATGCTGGGAGCTTGGCTGAACTTGCTTGGCGAACACTGACTCACTCAGAGGAAAACCTCTCTTCACGGCACTCAGCTTCCTCCAGGTCGCAGATCTCTTCTCCGGCTTTCTGCGCAAGCATTACCTGACGAAGAAACAATCATCCGAATACAACATTGAGTGCTTGTCATGAGACGCAAACGGGGTCTCGCCACGATTGGAAGCCGTACCTTATGCATCTCCGTGAAACATCCAGGCAAACATCATTTGGGCTGTCACCAGAAGTCATAGAACCGCTTCCACACTCTAGGCTCGTCCTGGCAAAGCAGGGGCGCTTAGCGAAGTTAGCTCAAGATGGTGCTTTGCTGGTTCCTCCAAGCTTCCCAAATCGGGCACAGGCCGCTTGACAGAGAAGCGCGCATTGCGGCGAAAGACCTGCGTGACAGCTTTGAAATCGGACGAATGTTCTTCAAGGCGTGCCCTGCCCTGCTCCAGAACCTCGCCAAAGACTTGGAAGAAATCTTGGCCGCTGTCAGGCCGAAATTTGGGCAAGCTCCTGAGCGGAGTGCAACGCGGGTCCATCATGGGGAGGCCTCCAAGTTGTATCACGGCTTCAGACCTCAAATGCTGGGGGCAGCCAGAGAGGAGGTGTAGTCGCCGGTGAGCGGAGTGCAGCATCACGCAGCCAATCTAGAATATCGTGTGGCAGACAAGGCGTGCATGCTGCAAGCAAAAATGCAGGCAATATGCAGGGGCGGGCAGCATGGCGCGAGCATGTCCAGGCTTGGACATTACACCTACGGCCTCCATACAAAGGAGATCTCTGAGTACGATTTATAGCCGGTTCCATGCACCAGGCACCTTAAAACAACCCCCTCCCTAATTAAACAGCAAGCGAGCGTTTAGAATACCACCGTCTCATTGGAGTGTTGGCTCCCGAGTGAGACAAGACCTGCCAGCCTCATGATAGAGACTGACTGATGACAGGCATGCCCCCAGCGCTCCTGTCCGCCTTTCTCCTCAAGCTGGCCTTGACCATGAACATCCTGTGAATCCCACGTTCCACCTCAAGATTGGTTGTCTTGGAAAGAACTATATTTGTTTTGGGTTCCGAGGCTGATCCAGGCCCTGGTGCCCTGCACTTTTCTGGAGAGGTGAAGGCAAGCGACCGTTGCCTTCCACCATGCCGATAAGAAATCGTGTTGTATGCTAGCGGCCGGTGCCTTCACCATGGTTTGGGTGCCACGCAGGTGGTGAAGGCAAGCGGCCGTTGTTTTCTCCCTGGCCCCTCCCCAGTCGCTTCAGGGAAAACTCTCGGAGCTGAAGGCTCCGCTCTGACTCTGTCCGATGTTTTCTCTTTCTTTTTCTTTTTGTTCTTTTTTGACCCTTTGTCCCCCGAAACAGACGACCCGCTGGTCGAATCATGTCTCGGACATATCCGGAGGAGGCTTTGTTTGGCCCACCAAGACCACTTTCTCTTTTTGGAAGGGCCTTTGTAAAGGTCCTCCCCCGCGGAAAGGCCTCGGACTTGGTCGGAGCGAAGTTTCTCTTCTCTTAACTGACTCTTGAAAGCCTTCTTCTCATCTTTCGCCTTGCTCCTTCTCTGCTCTTTCTCTAGCGCGAGCTGAGTAAATTTAGCCGCTTCGTGGCCTGCCTGCTCCATCTGCTCCTTCACCTCCGTCAAAGTCCAGGACGGCTCGAGGTGCGGTAAAGGTAGTGATCGGGCAGAGTTGCGAGGACGGAGTGTTGCAAGGGCATGCAAGGGTGGAGTCTCTCCTTGGCTCGGGTCCACGTCTCGTGCGGGATGATGCAGGTTCTTTTTGCCACAGGTTTCAGAAAGTTAAACTGTTGAGGCGCTTGCAGCTTGCAGGCTTTCTATTTCGTCAGTGGTCCCCGGAAGGGTTTCCGGTTTTCAGGTTGACCTTGCTGTAGGAGCTTTGCTGGCATTAACAAGGATTGCTGCTGTCTTCTACTCCCATGACGTCGACGTCCGAGACAGCACTGGAAGTAGGGACTGCGGCGCCCGTGCGGGCTCGTGCGGGCTGGCCGTCCCGCTCCCTTGCATGTAATCACAGGAGCAACTGCGGCAACAAGAATTCACCCCGTTAAAACCTTGCCCAATGCTCGCATGTTTCCACACAGGTCATCGTCTCTGCTTCCGAGACAAAATTGCTGACTACACTAATCTGCCAAGGTTCTCGTCGAAATCCAGGCTGGAATCATACTGTTTTCGCTTGGAAGGATCAGACAGAAGCTCATAAGCTTCCTGAATCTTGACAAAGTTCTCCTGCACCTGCACCAATGCTTTCAAAAGACCGGCTGCAGGTGTCAGAGAAGCCCCTGGATTGGGCCTTCTTCGCTTCCAGTGGTTCCAATTGGGCCTGCTTGTCTGGGTGAGCCGTCAAGGCCAAGGCCCGGTAGGCCTTCTTGATCGCATCCTTGTGCAGACATGGATTTTTTGGCCAGTTGCTAAGCGGCTACTTTTTGCTCGGTGAAGCCTGGGAAGCACCTTCAGAGATGCCCATCAGCTTGTACAAGTTCACCCCTTTCAGCAAGTCACCTCAGAGTCTGGAGCATGAAGCTCCTTGGAAACGAAGCTGTTCCCTGAATGCGGCTGAAGCGCTTATCCTCAAGTAGCCACCCGACTTGTCCTTGCCAGTGCGCTACAGTAATCACCTCAGCTCTTATGGTTCTGACCCGGCCTTGCGGTTGACCTCTTCGGTCTCCTCTGTCGCTGCATCGCTACCGGAGCTTGCGCTGCTCGGGCTCACGGCAGGGCGGGCCTCAGAGGACCGCATGTGAAAATGTTCAAGTCGCGGCTCCTTTCGTAAGCGCCTCAAAGCGAGCCGCAAAGCTGCGTCCCGCAGCCTCAAATCTGTACTTGTCGGCAGCCTCAAAGGCTCAGCAGTTGTGCACAGTGCCAAGCGAAGCGACCTTCGGACTTCGCTCCTTCAGTTTTTGTAAGACGGGCACGGTGCAGCCGCCAGCTACCACTTGGACGCAAGGACAACAACCGCACACGACTTCCTGGCAAATCTTGCGCTTTGAGTCTTGGCGCCTCTGCAAACAAGTCAGGGTGACATTCAAGCCGACTGATGCTCTGTCGTCAAGGAGGGCTTTCAGGATCTTCGGAGCCATCTCCATGCATGGGGTCTGTAGTGCTCCGCTGTGGGCCCTGCAACCCAGAGCCCTTGAGGCAAATGGAGGCTCAGGCCGGATGCATGTGCAAAAAATGGGCTTCACAAACTGCACAATACAGGCCCATATGGCCACTTTGTGTGACATCATTGTGTAAGACGGCTGGAGGGCCACTTTTCCTGAAGTCCAGAACGGGCGTGACAGCTCTCGTTCTAGACTTGTTCCTTGTGTCGGCTCAACACCCTTCGAAATCCTGAAGAAGTGACAAAAAGCAAGAACCAATTGGCGTCACTCTTGCCAAAGCTCCTCCCAGTAGGCACCCCCGTAGTCCGTGATCAGCTCCGTACCCTTTTTGACGTCTTTGGTCGTCCTGCAAAACCATGCCAAGCTCCTGGCCTTGTGGAACTTGCTCCCCACTGCCTGAAGTACGCCACATCGCCAAACTCACAAATCTGCACGTTGACCTTCTTGCATTGCCTAAGTCAGGTCAGGACCCTGCAACACCAAAAGAAACTGCGCGTGTCCTTTTGATGCGGTACTATTTAGGTCCAGCTTCTTCAAGTTTTGTTCAACTGCTTCTCTTGTCTGTTGCCTCTATGTGCACACGCCGCCCGGGAAAACAGTTTCGAGCCCTTCCAAATTCTCCGCTCGAGATGGGTTTGTAGCTAACACATCAGGATGCTTCACGCGAGGTTTGGCTCCATGCGAATCACGCGAAAGGACGCTGCTTTGGGCCGCGAGGTGCGTTTTGATGTGCTTTGCCAAGCGGCGTGGCGTTGTCTTGATGCTTCTTTCAAGTACAGGGCTGAACAACAAAGCAGTGGGGGATGTGGCAGGGCGCAAAACAACGAAGCACAAAATGAGAGCATGAAAGTTCTTGCCGAATGTTGATGGGATTTGCTTTGAGCCAAATGGCAGGGACCCCCTACTCAAGAGCACAATTCTAAGTGAACATGTACAGTAACGAGCCTCCACGCGAGAACTCGACTTGGCCAAAATTCGAGGACGCTTTGTGCTGAGTGCAATTCTGAGTGAAAATGTAAAGACGCTCCATGCAAGAAGGAGACCGCTGTGACCAGGAGACTTCTATCGCTAAAACGCCAGTTGCTGCCCGATTTTCTTGGGTGGACGGCTTGCTGTCAAATTGTTTGCGCAAGGGGTGCCCTCACACTGCACAGGATTGAAATTTCTCTGCCGCAGTGGCAACGTCCGTATGCCTCTGGGGCCCTATGCTGCCCACGCGTTTCATGCGGATGTTGAAGGATGCCTGGTGTGCAGCATATATAGTGTCTTCTACCTCATGAAGCTGACCGTAGCTGACAAGTGGCTCAGGCGTCCTTGCGGCATTGATGAATCGAACGGGATTTTTCTCGGCTTTCTCGCGGCCGTCCACACAGAAAGTTGTGGCAGCGCCGGCCTCCTCGGCCTTGGCAAAAGCTTTGCGAAGTCGCTTTGCTCAGCAAATCATTAAATCTCAGCAAGCTGTACACCAAGAAAGTACTGCACTGCAAAGCGCGCAGCCGTCTGAAGCTGCTCATCCGTGAAGTTGAAGAGCGCCTGTGCGGCGCACTTAGCAGCTTGCAGGTGACCGAGGCGTACAGAGGCTACTGAGCAGGCTGAGTGATAGAACGGCATCGAAGTTTTCAATCGAATGATCTTCAAGCTGAGCTTTGGGTTCCATTCCTTCCGTTCAGGCTACGGCGTAGATGCTTGTTCTGCTAGTTGTGCTGCTCAGTTGCTTAGCCCCAGCCTGCCCAAGAAAGCAACTTAAGGCATGAGCCTCCAGCGGCTCCGGCGCCTTCTCCAAGGTTAAACCCTTTTTCGAACCACCCAGTCCCCCAGTATTTGAGCACAAGGATTTGAGCAGCCGTCACCCGGCCAAACGAAGCGAATCGGCACGATGGGTGATTCCTGCTCTGTGCAGCCGGGCAGGTTCAGAAACAACATGTCACGAGCGCGCTCAAGATGTTGAAGCAGGCTGGCTGAGCCCAGTTCAGGTTAGTAGCGTGGCGCTTTACGCAAACCACTCGTAAACAATTTGCCGCCTTTGTAGATATTGTCCGCGCTCAAGTTTGGATGCTGCGAAGTTCGGGCGGCAAATTTGGGGACCGCGGGCCAAACATTCAGGAACTGCGCCGCGACAGTTCGGCCACGCCACGCGGTAAAGCCCCCTCATCATCTCCACGATTCCGAACGTTTACTACTCTCCTGTGCTTACGTGCACATGGTGCTCAACTACACAAGGCGTCTTGTACGGACAGGGAGTTGCCCATACATGGCGACATTCCAGGATTTAAAAAACGCCTGCTACGCAAAATCTTTCCTCGCTTGAAGTTGCAAACATGTCTGAGAGTTGCTTCTAATCCTCGCGACTTGCAGGCGATTACCTTTTTTTGCAGCCGACCTCTGCAGCACCGCCGGAAGGGAGCAGGGTACAGAACTACATTGACTACATCCGGAGCACATGCAGTCGTTGGCGACTGTAGGCTCGGCAGACAAAAAGGCACAATGGATTTGACTTACATCCCCATGGTGTGCTGACAATCAAACCAATTCCAGAAAACGCCGGCATCATCGAAATGCCTGCCATCAATTTACCTCCCAGCTCGTGGTTGTGAACATCCAAAGGTCCCGTTGCAAGGAGACTCAGAGTGGCTTAGAGGGGGAGCTCAAGTAATGAGCATGATCATACATCCTCTTTTGAGGGCTGGGGCATCGGCAAGATTCAGGTGGCAATCGTCAGATCATCAACCATCGACGTTGTGCTCACATCGTCACCAAAGAGATGTGTTGGTGATTCTTGGTGATGCTTGTGAAGCAGGCAGGTGCAGCATTTGTGAGGCCGGCCTCTTCACGGAGCGGGCAATAGACGTAATCCATCTCGCTTTTTGAAGCTCTCATCTTTCTGAACTCACCAAGGCCTCAGAGCAAAAAACAGCAGCAGAGCGGCAGAGCGCTAGAGCTTCGCCGAAGCCGAGGTTAGCCGAGGCGGAAGCTCAAGGGCTTGCCCTGATAAGGAGGAAGCCTCTTCTGGTTCAGCCAGAGCTTTCGTTTCTTATCCATGTGCATGCTTAGACTGACCGTGCCTACACCTTTATGGCTCGATCTGATGCAGTACATCAGCCAACATGGTCTGAAGTTGCTCTGTAACAATTTTCTAACATTTTGCATAGGCTTTTTGTACTTTGAGCGTAGAATCGCCAGTTCATAAGCTAAGCAATCTAAGCAGCTCAAAGATTGTAAGGTCCTCTAAGAGCCAGGCACGCTGAATTTGGGCAGTGCAGCTGTGGCAAACAAGCCATCACCAGCATCGCCCAGGGTTGAAGGCTTAATTTTCAAGTTCTTCCCATCCTTTCCATTTTGAAGTGATTGCGCAGCTTGCGCAGCTCACGAATGGCTTTGTCCTCCACATTCCACTTCAGCAGGTTGGCGCTTTTCCAGGAAAGATGATCTGGCGGCTCTGCCAGCAAGTTTTGTCACGTTCTGTGCTGCATGTGCCTGCCCAGCCCTCCTCGCCCTGCCCGGCTTCGATGCTATCCAGCCGGGCTCTGGCAGCATCTGCCGGTAGCTTGTAGAGGCCTCAGCTTTTGAAGACTCAAAGATCTCCTTTTGAAACTCTTGGGCCGAGCCGAGGGGCCACCAATCACTACGTTCTGCTCTGAGGATTGGAGATCGCTCAGAAACTCGTGGCAGTTGCACTTTGTCGTCTCGCCTCAGCAGATCTCCGGTATCGCGTAAGCGAACCTATCACTTCGTATTCGCAGCTAAGGTACCTCGCTTCAGGTCAATGCAGCTGGTGGCACACCAGTCCCGTTCGCAGCACTCGCACGGAAGTCCCACGATTTTCTGCCACGCTTTCGGTCTTTGTGATTTGAAGCTGAAAAGTATGCCGGCGCACGAATCGAGCTGCTGCAGGGTCAGGATCGAGAGTGGCACCAGCAAGCGACATGGCTCCAAACAAGGCACCTGTCAGTTCAGAACTCTTCGCTTGTTCGACAGACTTTGACACAGACAAGCAATTGCCTGTCAAAGTTCTCCGGGAAGTTCGAAATGAAGCTTCTGTCTCAGTCGCACCCAGGAAGCCTCTCATCAACCCAGCGGCCCAGCAGATAAACGACGAAAAAACAAAAGGAGCGGGCTGCCTTGGCCCAGCTGGCAGCTTCGCAAGCACGCCAGAACCAAACCAACAGCTCCTGAAATTTCTGGTGAAATGAGATTAAATCGTGCAACAGAGCTGGTCCTGCCCGCAATGCTCGTGCACCTGCAAGCAGTCGGCAGCATAACAGCTTTGATCTCTGACCCCGCTGGCTATGCTGTTCTAGAGCACATGGCGCCTCGTAGCGCGCCCCAACTGGAGGTCATACTGACTACTGCCCCTCCCTGCCCCCCTTCCCCTTGAGACAAGCTCTTTAACCGCCCTTGCCCGGAATATCAAGTGGAGGTTTTGCTGGGGCAGTAAGCTTGCCCTGTCAGACCAGGGTGCACAGTGCATCATGGGCAAAGGAACCGTGCCCACGCAGCTTGTCAAGCTCAGGCTGTGGCTCCAAATCCACTTCCCAAGCTCAAGGCAAAAAGCTACGGCTAGTGACTTCTGGCCTTTTGGCCACAAGCCAGCAGCTTCTATGCACGGATGCACAGTTGGACCGGAAGAAGCCAGGTAAGGCTAAGCGATGGTCATGTTAAGCCTGTTCTTCAAGCCCTCGATACGTCGCTTCTGTGCCTCAAGCCAGGAAAACAAGAACCACATAACACTATAAATGTTACGAGCAGTCAATGCAAATAGCTCTGCATGCTGCCCTGCTCTGGAAAAGGTTGGATTGTTCGGGTGGGCTGGCGTGGCAGCCTCAAGCACGCTTTGGATGTCCATGTCAACATCTGGCATCTCCCGCTTCTCTTGCTTCTTTGCCCGAGTCTGTCATCATTCACACTTGATTGCCATCATGGCGATCATGAAGCAATTCGCATGCCGCTAACATGAATACGCGGCGACCCGTCCTGCAGGATTTCGGCACGGATAGAAGGAGCAGAGGCTGATTCTGTCATGGTGCGCACGGCGTAGGCGAAGCTGGCTGGACTCACTAACAGCCAGACCATGGCCTCTGAGTGGGGCTGCCGGCATTGCGAATTCTTCAAAACCTGTGAGTTTGGTGCGGCAAAGCTACATTTCTACGCAAACCTCTGCCTGTCTTCGTCTTCGGCTTGTCGGGCTTCTGAGGCTGCGATGCCTGTCCGACCGCTTGGCTTTGGACATCTGAAACCAGAGGGCGAGTGCTTAGTCTCGTACCGGAGACTTTGCATGCTGAGCACCTATCACTTGACTTGCTTTTCCCATCTGCTACCACAGACTGCGTCACAATGGATGCCTGCAATGCATGCGGAAACACCACTGCTCCTCGAAAAGGTTGCTGGAGCCGTGGAAGTCAAAGCACCTTCTAGCACAATCAAACCCCTCAGCAAGTACTTGTCAACCAGGCCTCCGTGTGAAAGTGGGGGGCCAGGAAGACCTTCGCAGAGCGATGAGCATCACAAAGCCAAGCACGCTGAGCTCAACTCTTGCCTGGCCCAGAGCCCCGAAGGCTTGGCTGCTCCGTTGCGCAAGTTGCACAGGGCGCCGGAGGTTCGCTGTATGTCAAACCTGCCACACCCACATCCCGGCACCACTTCAGCGAAGCAACGCATCGATTGAATTGCCTGGATGACGGCACGCATGTCGCCCGGAAGCCTGAGCCACCGGCCAGCTCGAGTGAGCAGGCTTAATTAAAAAGGACAAGCATGCGCCTGCTCATCTATATACGTACTGAAGATCAGACAAACAAGGTGCATCTTTTGCCTAATATCTGCATGATGGCCTGGTTCAGGCATGAATGTTTTCACAAGTTTATCTTGGAAGGCCAGGCCAAAAAAACTACTTTACAGCCCCCAAAACCTAGAGCTGCACAGGCTTTGCAAACCACTTACTGTTCGTTGCTCTTGGCTTAAACCCCTTGCTCTGCTACTTTGCGGTGGCTATGGGCCCTGTCCTATGACGCAACCGCGTCATCCTCCGCGTCTCCCCAGAGTCTCTGCTGCTCGCAGGTGAACCGGAAATGAAGAGGGAGGCTGTGCAGATCTGCTGAGATCCGCTTGTGGTGCCATATGGCGCAGTGCACGCCCAACCGCGGATAATCCATGAAAAAAACCCTTGAAGCTCTTATATAGAGCGGAACAAAACAAGACGGCAAATGGCAGAAGGATAGCGCGGAGAGGCTTTGCACTATCAAGAGGCAAAATTGCAGCTCCTACTGGCAACCAAATGCTGGGCAGTACCTATAAGGACTGAACCGTTGTAATGGCAGAGGCTGGCATGTTGTTTTGCGTGGTGTGCTGGGAATCGGAGCGAGCACAGAACCGGACCAAACTGCCCAAATCTCATTTGCAGGTGCCAACTGATGAAGCCAGCATGCAGCCCACTCCAGGGCCCAGGCTTCTGGGAGGGCGGCGATGAGCGGCCGAAGAGCTCGGGGCGGTGCCTCGGCCACAGCTGGCACCAGCATCACAGAGCTGGTACTGACGGTTAGAAGCTGAAAACAACGCATGTGCTGGCTAATGCTTACTCCGGGTGCTGGGTACAATCCATGGCATGTTTGAGTCTTTGACCATGGCTACCACTTTTCAGCACATAAGGGGCTCCAACACAAGTGGCATTGGACAGCTCATCTCCCACGCAGCTCCAGTTGCAGTTGAGCAGCATCCACACGGGCAGAAGCACCAAAAGAATGTCTGTTGCTGCCATTGCTACCGCCGCTTCTAGCGTTGAGGCCTCGGCATATGGCGCATTGGATTGCAGGCTGCGGGTTGGTAGCTCCCGGCCTGAGGCTTGGACCATCCTGACAGAAGGTGACGCGCCCACCTCGACCTCGAGCCGCCCCTGCCTCAGCCTGACTCACTTGAGCCTGGCCTTCTGTGAGCCCAGCTCGGCCTCGCCCACTCAAACCGTCTCGCACAGGGCTAGTGCCACGGCGTGCTTTGAAACTGTTTCCGGCACTTTGCTTGCGGCCCTCGTTCACTGCAGAGACCACCGACTCTGTCAATTCTGTGGCTGTCATGTAAGACCGTCGGAGTTCCGTGCCACGGCTTCGCTTGCAAGTTGGGCAACTTGCAAGGCTGGGCGGGATGCCACGCTCGCTGCAAATCTGACAAACCCACGGCGAAGCCACATCCGCCGGGCTCCTTTTGCAAATGCCATGGGCTACGCTCTACCATTCTCCCTTGTGCAACCAAAGCGCACATGCACCACAATTGGGTCTGGCAAGACAACTGGAGGACCAAGGTCATCGACCCAAGTCGCGATCGGTCTCCTGCACTCAAGTCACTCCATGTCACAGCCATCAGCTTTCCAGCGTCCTGTCCTGGCCATTTAAGCCGGAGGATGTCTCAGCCTAAGTCGACGAATCATTGCAGTTTGTGCCATGTTTGTCTTGAGCTATGGGGCTGGGGTTCCGGCGCAACTGCTGAAAACTTCCGTGCTCCTACTTGGCCAGGACCGCAACAGTTCTGCGCCTTTGAAATCTGACATCTTTGACGCTGCGCTTGGCCTCCGCATGCCGCCTCTGATGCCTTGCACGGACGTTCCATAAAAATTGTTTCTTGAGCTAGCCAACAGCCGGCTGCAGTTTCACGGTGTTTCGCCCTCCTCATCATCGACGTCGCGCGCTGAGGCTGAAGCGTCTGGACCAGCACGAGCACGACCAGTGCACCGCGCGGATGGCCAACATGAAGTGTCACCAGCATCATGTCTGACCACTATTTCTAACTCATGCTTTGGCATTACGAACCTAAAGGCCCTGAATTGTTTTCATGGGCAAAACAATGCACGCCCTGTTGCTTTGATTGGCTGTTACATATCAACGCGCATTGTGGCATTGTGTCAACAGCCGTCCTCTGTCAACACGGAGCCAAACTCTACCCAATCTGATAGGTCGCAAGCAAACGGTCAAAACGTGTTTCACATTTGTCGGATCTGAGCACCCTACACCAACTCGTCACACGGCCATCACAGCGCCAAAACAAGAAACACATGCGCCACTGATTGTTTTCCGTAAATCGGTAAACTGTTCCAAAAATTGCGGCGCAGCACTGGCTTGATTTAGGATGCAATTCAATCACATTGTAAACATGAATGTGGCCAGAAACTTAAAGGATGGGAGCAGCGGTGTTCCTGGAGTCTATTCGGTGGCAGGTCTTCTTCAATCCGCAAGGTCCAAGAATTCCTCCAGTGCGAACCATTGATGTCCAAAAAATTGTCTGCGAAGACGCCCTCGGAAATAATGCCCACGATTCCCTTCCCAACTTTCCCAAAAACGAACATCATGAATCGACTTGGATCCGCCTGCCCAACCGAAAGCTTGAAGTGTCTGAACAGCCGCGTTGAACAGCCTGGGACATGTACTGTCGCTTCCTTCCCAAGGACGTCGGACGTGCTTCCAAAAAGAGGCCAGTGGCTGGCACAAGTCTGCATGAGTCAAAAGCAGCGCAATGGAAGCAGAGCCTGGGAGAATGGCTGCCAAGGCCAAGCACCAGGCCAAGGCTTCACCCAAACCGCACATTGTCCTCTCGGCATCCCACCGCCGCCGGTACCTATAGACTCTATAGGGGCGGGAGGGGTGCGGACTTTTTTAGGTTATGTTATAGACTCTCAACAACTGCGCCCCCTGACACGCATGTGCTGCCCTCCACAACATCCCATTTGCTGTTTGCCCGGGCAATGTGGCGCTACCCTTGGGTGTGTGGCCAGCTCACCCAGCTTTGCACCATGCATTTGGTCACGTGTCCGGCCCTCGACAGCTTCGGCCCGATCACGCGGTCGACTGCTCCATCTGCAGTTTCACCACCTGCACTGGCTTCGGCACTGACTGCCGCGGGCTGCAGCTGCACCAGTTACTTCCTCGATCCCGTATTTGACAAAAGTAGTGCTTTCCTATTAACTTCCTGAGACACTCGGTCCTTTTCCTTCAAGCAGCTGTGTGCTCAGTGTCTCTTCCTGAGCCTGTATGTTACACATGCAATGCTGTTCCTGCACATGCAACAAGACTGCTGGGCTAACACTCCTAGGCAGTAATGTTTAACACCCCGCCGTAGAAGTTGGTGAAAGGATTGCTTCAATCTTAAGATGACTTCTACATTATCTTCCTGTTCGAGTGGGAAGTGTAACTCCATTACACACATCACTCAACAACAAATTGTTCTCTACAGAGAACGTTTGTAGAACATCTATAAAATTTTGGACATCCACTGCACTTACTTTCCTTAAGCACAAAAGAAACAACACACCACATTCCTTCTATACGCGCTCGGGTACCAGTGGTTGTTGTAGAGGAATTCCTGGACCATTGCCATCTCGCTGTCCAAGTCTTTTCCTTTCCAGCTTCCTTCTTGCTCACGGGAAAGTTCCTGTGAATTTTGTCCACTGTGTTGTGTCTCTCTTGTCCTGCCAGAACCATCCATTCCTGGCATTCTTCCACCACTTGTACATCTCGCTGCGCCATTCCCAAAACACTGTTTGGTCTCCACTCACATCTGAGTCTTCCTTTCCTTTGACTTTTCCTCCTTTGGACTTTGGCTTTGATCCTCTTCCTTCTGTGCATCCTGTGGCTGCCTCACTCTCTTCTTTACTCTTCTTCGTGTCCTCCTCTGCTTTCTCCTTCTTCTTAGTCTCCTCAAGCTCCAATCTCAACCTTTTCAGTTCCTCTGACAGGCTGTCTTGGAACATCCCGTTTTGCCTCCTTTCCTACTCAAATGCCTCATGCTATCTTTCAATTGCACTCTGTTGATCCTTCCTTGTTGTTACAGGATTCAGCACTCAAGTGAAGACGGAAGCTACCGGTAAGTTGAACCTTTTTATGGCGACTGCGGAGGCAACGATCAAAGCGTTTAATCAACAAGCATGGAAGGTGAGGACCTCAACAAGTAGGCTCT